GTTGTGGTTGTGGCTGTTGCTGTTGTTGTTGTTGTTGTTGTTGCTGTTGTTGTTGGTGGTGGTGTTGTTGTTTGTTGTGTGTTGCTTGTTGCTTGTTGCTAGTTGTGTTAGTTGCTAGTTGTGTTAGTTGTTTAGTTGTTAGTACTTAGTTGCTAGTTGCTAGTTGTTAGGTGTTAGTTGTTCGTTGCTAGTTGTTAGTTGTTGGTGCTAGCTGTTAGTTGTCAGTCGTTGGTTGTTATTTGTGAGTTGCGAGTTGTTAGTTGTTTCTTGTTAATTGTTAGTTGTTTCCTGCTTATTGTTCCTTGTTTCTTGTTTGTTGTTTCTTGAAAGGGGTGAGGGATCAAAAAAAAATTAAATAAGGACCAAAAAAATTAAATGAAAGATCAAAAAATTAAAATAAGGATCAAAAAAAACTAAATCGCTCAAAATACAGCAATTCCTGGGGCAGAGGCATCAAAAAAAATTAAGATAAGGATCAAAAAAAAATAAATCACTTAGAATACATCAATTCCTGAATTTTTCCAAGGGAAAACACTGTTTTCCTAGGGATTTTCTTTTGTTTCCTTAGGATCTGTTTGGTTTTTCCTCTGGAAAACACGATATTCCTGCGGATTCCGTGGTATTTCCCTAAGTTTTCCTTGATTTTTCGTAGGAAAAAGCCTATTTTCCTCTTACCTATGGCGTTCGTGTCAATTCTTCAGGTTTTCAGAAGGACAACATATGGTTGTTCCTCGGGAAAATCAAGTTTTCCTTACAATTTCACATTTAGGACGGATTTCCCGTTGTAGCTGTTTCTGGTATTCCGCTTCATCATCTATCTTAAACACGCCCCTCATTTGGCGATTCTGGTTCAGCATGTATTTACAAGGGCGGAGACGCCCTCATTTGCTGGGTTTCAAAAAAAAGGCATATGCTTCAAAGCAACCCTGCACGGCTTAAAACAGCGGGGGGGGGCGCAGCCCCCCCCATTTGCAGAGACAACGTTCACATGACGGGCTTCGAAAACACTCTTTGAATCAAGCTTGCACGTCTCGAAAAGCGCGGCGGCGGGTGTTGTGTTCTTCCGTGCCTGTTCGTGTCTCTTCTTCCGTTAGCATTCTAACCTAATATATATATATATAACATAGTAAACCAGAAGAACGACATAAGATGGTTCGACAACACAAAAATGGTGTGACATTTTCTGACATAACAGAACCTTGCTTCTTATAGCATATAATAGCATACTAAAAATACAACAATACAATATAACGGAAGATGACATAGAACAAAACAACATCTTAGTTTATAGTGTAGTACATTGTAACATAGTGCAATACAGTGTGTATATTTACAACATAATATGTAGTATTTTTTAGAACATTAGGTTACATTATGTTATATTATGTTACGGTACATTACGATATTATGGTATATTCGATTGGACTATGTAGTATCCTGTTGCTTGTATCTTTGTTTCTGTGATTATGTCATATTATTTCTCTTTCGTCTTTTCCAACTTTGCTTTTTTATTCTGGACTTTCTTTCTTTCGCTCGTTCATTTATGTTCTTTCTTTCTGTTGTTCTTTCTTTGTTCATCTCATACTCCCTTCCTTTCTTTCTTGCTTTCTTTCTGGTTTGATTTATTTCGTTCTTTCTTTGGCTCGTTCTTTCTTTCGTTCTTGCTTTCGTTCTTTCTTTCGTTTTTGCTTTCGTTCTTTCGTTCGCTCTCTCGTTCTATCTTTCTTTCTTTCTTTCTGTTTTCCTTTCTTTCGTCCTCTTTAGATACAGCAATTTTGGAATTTTTCCCAGGGGAAACACTGTTTTCATACGGATTCGTTTTCATTTCCTGAGGATTTGCTTGGTTTTTGCTCGGGACAACACGATTTCCCTACGGATTCCGTGGTATTTCCTTAAATTTATTTCTTTAGTTCTTGCTTTCGATCTTCCTCTTGTTTTTGCTTTCGTTCTTTCGTTCTCTCTCTCGTTCTTTCTTTATTTCTGTCTTTCTTTCTTGCTTTTTAGATACAGCAGTTCTTGAATATTTAAAGCACGATGAAGCGATAGTCTTACGTATCGTTCTTCTTTATTTTCCGCGTCTTTCTTGTTCCTTTAACTATTTCAGTTTTTCTTTCTTAATGTATGGCCTTCCGTCTTTCTGTATTTCTCTGTTTTTGTTCTTTGGTTATTTCTTCATTGTTTGTTTTGTTTTTGTTTCTAACTCTCTTTGGTTCTTTCCTTGTGTTTTCTTTTTTCTTTCCTTATAGCTTGCTTTATTTACTTAGTTCTCTATTTTTGTTTTCTTTCTTTACTTGTAGCTTTCTTTATTTACTTATTTCTCTATTTCTTGCATGGCTTTCGTTCTTTGTTTCTGTATTTATTTCTTTCTTTCTTTTGTTCTTTATTTCTTTCTTTCGTTGTTTTTTGTATTTTTTTTAAGTTCGTTCTTTCTTTCGTTCTTTCTTTCTTTCTTGCGTTCTTTCTTCCTTCCTTTCTTTCGTTCTTTATTTCCTTCTTTCTTTCCTTCTCTCTCTCTCTCTCTCTGTCTTTCTTTCCTTCCTTTTTCCCCTTCCTTTCGCGGATACCAGTTTAATTTTTTTTTGATCCTTATTTAACTTTTTTGATCCTTATTTAATTTTTTGATCCTTATTTAATTTGTTTAACCCCTATCCCTTTCTTGATTTGTTGTTTGTTCTTTCTTGTTTCTTGTTAGTTGTTTGTTGTTAGTTGTGTTAGTTATTTAGTTGTTTGTTGTTAGTTGTTTGCAGGTTTGAAGGTTCAGGGGTACAGGACCAGGAGAGGCCAGGGGACCAGGGAACCAGGGACCAGGGGACGACCAAAGGACCAGGGGACCAGGGACCATGGGACCAGACCTAGCAAGGCCCCCCAGACCAGGCCAGACCTAGGAAAAAAAAAACAGTGGACCCTTATGCCGACCAGTCAACATAAAACGACTCCGACAGTACTCACGCCAACCAGAGCGAAGAATGTGAAGCTGCCTCTGCAACTGAGCATCAGCTCTGAGGCAAAGGCGAAGCCCCTGCCTTTCCCAAGACCCAGGAGCAACTTCATTCCAACCACGCTCTTTCAACCACTTCCGGAAAGTCCACAAGGGAGTGTACTTCACGTCATTCCAAACACAGCTGCCTTTACGACGAAGCTGTAAAAGAACACGATACAAAGCACTACGCACATCAACATGACTGTTACCCCCGAGGACAACCGCACGTAACCACTTGTTGCTCATCCAAGCAACATTTTGCGCCCGCTTAGCAGCCGCCCAGAGTTTGTTGCTAACTCCCCAGGTCGGGAGACGAGCAATCCAACCATACGGCACCACGCTAAGACAAAACATGCAATGTACATGCCCATGATCTCAGTATTCAAGCATAAAGAGCCAAGAACACGAAGGCGCTCAAGTGCTAGGGCAATCCTGTCGGCTTCCTTTTCGAGATTGGAGCGAGGCTTACCTCGACTCACAACCCCGAGAAAGAGAACATTGATGCGCAAAGTGTCATCGTCATTAAAGTAAGGACGAAGAGCCTGCTTTTCAGCAGCTTTGGCACCTCCAAACTGGGCTTTGTCCCCCGACTCAACCAAGCCAGCACGACGCGACCAAACGGTCCAAGCATCAAACTTGGCACGTAAACGACGTGCGTCAAGCTTGAACCTCGCCAGCCGGCTTAATGACACTACTAGTATCATGAATATGGTGACGCCAAAGCAAGGCCACTGCTTCGTCCGTAAAAAGCAGAGGTGCCAGCTAAGCAAACAGCAAACACAACTTCAAGGTGACCGTCGCCCCAGAACAAAGCTGCGCACAAGGAGCAGCGGACACCATGCGACGAGAGCCGACACGAACAGCTGCCCCTTTGACAAGCATGACGAAGCACAAGGAGCCGGCTCCAGGAAGTGCTGTGCAAAGCGGCAGTCAAGACAGCGCCAAGGCTGAACGACACACACTTGGCCAGACGATAGGCTGACGATAGGTTCACGACACCGCCACCAAGTTCATCATGTCAAGCCCATGGCTGTTGTCTCGTCCAACCAAGACGACGCCATCAAGTGTGGATAGCATGCAGAGGAGAGCCAGTCGCAGCAACCCACTTAACGTCTTGAGTCACGTGCAAGGTTGCCAATCAGCGAGTGCCAAACTTAGATCAAGATGCGTGTTGCCAGCGGACAGAGCCTCAAGCAACCCAGGGGCAGAAACCAAGACTCACAACCCGGATCTTCCCGGAGCTGGTAGATTTGCTTTAGGCATAGCACTTCACGGCATTCCTGCAAACGGCATGCGGAGGTAAGAAATCAAGCAAGCGTCCACGGCATCTCCTTCGGGCCAAGATTCCACTGATTGGACGTGGTGGAAGCACCAAGAAACTCAACTTCAATCTTGAACAAGTCATCACCCAAGATGGCGGCAAGCTCCAGCGGCGCTTCGTGCCTTCGCCAGCAAGGAGGTTTGTTGCCTGGTTCTCAGCAAGCCCAACATCACCACTCCACGAAGCATCACGACTCAAGAGTGGAAGTGGTGACCACGCTGTGAGGGAACAGCAGCAGATCAACGAGAGCCGCGATCGTGGCCAGCCAATTCTACGGCATGCCTAGTGCTCAAGATGCCTCCATAGCACAGAGGCGAGCCTAGGCGCCCGTGAAGAGGACACTGAGAGGGCAGGAGGAACACTTACATCATCGCCCTGACAATGCCTCGAAGAGCAAGTCCAGTTCCAGTGACATGTTTGCAGTCAGCACAAGGGCAGAAACCCCATGGGCCAATGCAGAAACCATCGCCTTGCAAGACTGCCGGAAACGAGTCTGCTCGGGACGACTGTGATGCCCACTTCGATGATGGTCGCAGTTACTGTCTGACTCATCTACAGTTCAAGCGCAGCCATCACTGCCACCTCCTACTGCAGAGATGACTCTCCCACTCTCAATTCGCCCTGAGTTGCAGCCGAAGACTGCAGCAGCTGACCCGCAACTTGCCCGAGACCCTACGCCTCAAAACATGCCGGAACTGCATTGAGTAGCGCAAAGCTGCAGAATGCCACATAGAAGTGAAACACTTGGACCCAGAAGGTGCTGATGGGTTCAAGGGAGTTTGCGGCTTTTTCCCAGGTGATGCCATTGGAGATCGACCTCATGAGGTAGGAATGGAAAGCTCCCTGCTGTTGAAGGTGACGGGATGTGACGCGATCTCCCAAAACCGTGCCTGAAGAGCGTGATGATGGATGCATAGAGTGTGCCGAAGTATTGTTGCACATCTTCGCTTTCGGCAGTTCTTCCCTGACGGGGCTGTGTCGGACAGGCAACTGCGACCGAAGATCGATGCATTGTCTCATAGGTCCAAAGTGCAAAGAATGTTGCAAGCTTTGCTTTCCTCCTGAACCCCGCCTCCTCCCACAGGTGGTTCAGAACAACATCAGTGAAGAGGATACCGAAAATGTAGATGATCCTGACGCACCAACATGCAAGTCTCACCTGGAGTGGCCGTTGATTTTTGCGAACATGGCGCAGGATCAAGAGCAAGAAGGACCAGAACAAGGACTTGAGCGTCCCCAGGAGCGAGTACACTAGCCTCAGCCAGGGTGGAAAGGCCCTCGGAAGCTACGGTGCCGAGTCCACGGCTATTCTCCGGTTAGGTATTTGGAGACATTGCGGTGTCGGAATGCCATCTCACATTGGACAATAGTTTAGTTCAGGAGTATGCTGCAGCAACTGCGATCGCCCTGGACTCGCCACTGAACCGCACCAGGCAGCGTCCGCAGTGCCCGGAAGAGCTTCACCACTCGGACGATTCGCACGACACGAACCAAGCGGCCTAGGCGAAGCAGCCTCAGGACTGGAGTCGGCCAGAGGGCTGGCGGCTGGCTGCGGGGATCGGGAAAAAGAGCCTCTCGTGCAGAACACCTACCCGCTGAAATCTGCGGAACTACAGCTTTAATGAAGCCAACGCCAGCACTCACCAAAGCTGCAGCCTTCAAGCTTGCGCTTGTGGCACAATTCACTGCTCCGAAAATGCCTTCGCAACCCTTTAGAAAGCGTCCATCAGCACAAAGTCCAAAGTCTTGAACGACGCTCCTCTCTGCTCATCTGCGGCAAGGCACCTCATGATTCGGAGGTTGCTGTTCGCTCCAAGAGTCTCGTGGTCGGGGGACACGATATCAACCGCCAGCTCAATCCATGAGGAAGTAACGACAAATACGTCCAACCAGTTCCAGGCCCAACTGTTGCCCTCAGCTGCAAACAAATTCTTCCGTCTCGTCCAGATATCGCTGTCTGGGCCAGGCCACGATAAACGGCACTTGACTGCGGCGTACCCCTTCACAAATCCTAGACGTTCTTGAACAAGACCCAGAACATCCCAAAGGGCCGCTATTGTTCCCAGAGATCAAGGCCAATGTCAATGAGTAAACCTGGGACGTTTTAAATCTGTCAAGCTGCACAAATATAGGCTGCAGGCCCGACAGCGACAAAATGGAGCACTGCCTCCAACGTGAAGAGAACCTGAACACGTTGACATGAGCCAGCCCCTGGGTGGCAACTTCGTTTGCTCACATAAAAGGGACATGCAAGCTGCCAAACATCTCTCAAAAGGTTGGCGAGGTGCTGAATATACTACATGCACGGTCAGGAACACCGAATTGGAGGTCTGCTCTGGGTTCTGCGAGCTCCAAGAAAGATGGACACCAAGATAGACTGAGTTGGTCAGGACCACCATCGCGAAGAAAATGCCTGCGGTCTGCGAGTTCACAATCGCGCTAGCCACTCTTTGGCAGCTTCTCCAAATCATTGGCAAAGGCCCGAGTCCTCAGAGCTCACTGGCAAAGACCGAGCTCAACTCGTCTCAACTCCCTGAGGATTCGCGGATAAGAGCCCCACCCTTTTGTGCGAACTCCTTGCTGACCTGGGATTTGAGTCGCAAAGGGCGCACAAACGTGCACACACAGGCTCGGCATCTCTGCGGCCGCGCGGCGGCTCCGACCCGAGCGTAGGCCTGGGTCACGGCCTCCCCCGTCCGCTTCGCCAACTCGTAGCTGCTTGGCGAGTCCTTCTGCTCAGCGGGCCCAGCGGGCTCAGGCCCAGGTCCCGGCCCCAAAAAATGTCTGAGTGCGCGTGCCCCGTGCCCGCCTCCCGGCTGTAGCGGGGACGAACGACCATCGGCGAGCTGTTGTTCTCCGTCTCCCCCAAGGATTCCCTTTCCACGCTCTCCGCCGTCAGGACGCGGGCAAACCTGACGGCATGTCCCGTCACTCAGCACCTCCAACCCGAGCACTGTCCACGTCACCATCTACTGCGCAGGTTTGCTACCGCTCTCGCAACACTCTCTTCGCTCTTCATTAGCCCATGGCACATGCCATGTCTTGGCCAATCCCGTCTAACGCATTTGCAGAGGAACGAGCCGGTCGTGTTTAGATCCGGGTCCGCGTTCGAATTGCCCGTCAGGAACGGCCCGGCATCTAACATCAAAGGCCTGTACAGGACATGTGGCAGCCAAGGATTCATTCGGATTGTTTAAAGAACCTGGATCACTGCGGCCCAGCCTTAGAAGAATGGCTTCCAACTTCTCAAACCGCGTGTCTAAGTGCGCACAGACCTGCCAGATTTCAGGCACGGGCACACTCAGTGCCTCGAAGAGCCAAGACCATGACAAAGAAGAGGAAGGCACCAACAAGCCGAGTCTTCACACCTCAGCCTCGAAGATACATCCGAACCCCACACGGAACCACGGAACATCCTGCCTCCATGCTGTGCTTGTGCAAAACCTCATCCAAAGCCTTGGGCATTTCGGCATCCATCGCCATTGCCCAGTGCCCGCTGGGCACAGGTGCCCCTTTTTGGGGAGCGGCGTGCATCGCCGAACTTAAAACACGTGTGGCTCTCGTGACCTTGCCCTCGGACATGACCCGACAGTAACTTGGGACAGCTTGCACGGTTGATGTTACAGAACAGGTACCACGTTCATGCCATGCCCCCATCGACTTCACAAAGCGAAGAGCAAGTGAATGTGGCACGATCTGTTGGCTCTCCTCTAAGTCACTAAACCTGGATCCCAGCTCGCAGAGGCATCCGACATTCTATCTGTTCTGCAGGGCGATGGCCTCCTTGGTCTGGAAGCTGCAAGGCATGCATCTTTTGTCCGTGTAGTCGCTGCCCGGATTGGGCAAATCCCACGTATCGAAATAGCAAGAAGCTACCAAAGACCATACATCTCAAGCCGCACGCCACTGCGGACAAGGGTGCTTTTGCAGCCCCTGCACCACAGGATTTGGCCTGCGTATTTTCTTCGATCTACCCTTGAGGCAGGCATCACTCATACAAACACCGTTACACTTTGCATGTACTTCTTCCAGAATACATCGCCGCTGTCCGGCGGCTGAGTCGGAGGTTACCGAGAGCTAGAGATCATGTCCTCAAGCCAACATGCACCAACCAAGTCTGGTAAGGTCTCTCGTAATCTCCGCAGGAGCTAAGCGACATCTGCAGCAGCGACCCGTGCATGTTTCGACCGCGCAAGACCTGACCTATCAATTCGCCAACGGAAACATGTTGAATGCACGGTCTCGTGAAACGCTCCTACTGGAGGCATGCACCGAGTCGGGAACGCTAGACTGTTCAGTTTCAGAACATGTTGCGCCGAAGGGGTTAGCTGTGCACAGACACGGGCTGCCTTCATCCTTCCAACCTTTGGGCCAGCATGGGGGGGTGACATCAGAGATTTACAGCGACTTCCCTGGAAAGAGGAAGAGCAAGAAGTACTGAAGATTGCGTCAAGAAGGAAGACGTTACTATCGCCAACATCTACATGCCCCCTGCCTGCTGCCAAAAGCCTGAACGAGGCTGAGGCCACATTGTCTTACCACCCTCTTCAATGTGAACGCCGTGAGAGTGTAAGAGCAATTTCGGGCTGCAAAAAAATTACCTGGCTCACAACCACGTCGGGCGCAGCTGGGGAGCCGCCAAAGCCGTACCGATCCTTATTCAGATGGCGCACGCCAAGCGTGCACTGACTAGGAGTACACAAGGCACACCATCCCTGCACGGCACGAATGCGACTACCAGAAATCTTCCTATCCTTGGCTAGGAATTCAGGACAAAGCTAAGCGAGAGTGTCCAAGAGTCCACTCGCCTAGGCATGGCAACCCTTGCCGGCCCCAAACATGTGATCGAAAATCACCTCTTGGTTTCTTGGGGCGCTTAACCGCCCATTCTTCGACATCTAAGTGGGAAACCAGGATTCTGGATCAGTTGTTGGCTCTGCTGCCGTTGCATCTCCTCGATCTTCCGCAACTGTTTGCCATACTTGACCTGAGCTACAGCCTAAGAGAAACCTGCAGCACTGCATCCCCCGTTAAAGGGTTCGAGGCCCAACAATCGTATTCCCACCATATATGGTACAAACCTGCGCCCTGTCTACGCCTGGAAGCCCACACACGCCGGGAGAAGAGTATTCGCCTCGGTCCTGGCCGAAGCGGCCGGAGTTTCCCACAAGGAAACCCTGTTTCCCCACCTCTTACTCCCCCCCTTCCTGCCTACCAACGCGGACCCCCCCCCCTTTTTTCGGACACATTGATTCCAAAGTGCTTGACCCCGTTGCCCTGGCTCTCACCCCTTTCGCCCCCTCCCGCTTTCCACTTTCGGACAAGCTCCCGCCGCCAGTCCGTGGCTCCTGTTCCGGGCTTCAAAGCTTCTTTTTCCGGGGTCTGGGTCCAGGCAACGCGGGCAAATCCCGACACCCTAAACCCCCAAAGCCAGAAAAACATACCTTCATACATACATACTTACATCACATTACACTACTTTACTTGACATTACATTACATACATCCTGGACTTTGGCCAGCAAACTCGAGCAAACCGTCGGCCTCCTTCACTTGCGGCCCGGCCGAGGCCACGCGAAGCATTTACAATTGGAATTCACGTCTGCACATCCACCGAAGTGCCTGAAGGTGGGGCTTCGCTTTCCCGTAACGACTCGTCATTCTTTGTTGCGATTTCCGAGAAAATGGAACAAACACCACGACAACGGAGGCGCATATAATATGATCACAATATGCTACAAGTCCCGTATAACTTACTGACACACGGCCGTGTCCACTGTGGTGCGATGCCAGCTTCCCAAACATCTCGAAAAAGTGCCAAGGTAAAATGGCAAGTGTGGGAAGCAGCGCCGACGGCTAGCACTTAGCACGTCCTTTGGCTGCTTCTCGCGCATTCCTCAACCATGCCGGCATGTTTACACACTTTGCATCATCCTGTTTTCGACGTTGCTCGCACTTGTCAAGGCCGTATGTTCTCGCGGACATGTCACCTCCATAGATGGCAACGAGACAGCAGAGCATGCTCGTGACTGTCGGGGAAGTGTGAGTCACGCAAGAGAGCAAGGTGCGGCCCTTTGAACGTTGTCTGAGTGGTCCGTCCGTTCAAATTCTTCCTTCGCCTTTGGCGGATTAAGGTGCTTTCACCCGTCTTTCATCACCACGTACCGAAACCACCTTGCAAATCATTGTCGCTCTCGTGTCTTCCTTGGCTTTCCAAATCGGCCGCACCTCGCTAGACGGAATACGCACCCACGTCTTCAGGAAAAGGTACCCAGAACAACCTTCGCCGAGAGCAGCGGCTCTCCGGGTTCCGATTTTCAGATGCCACAAACTTCCCATCAACACTTGCTAATGTTAGATCTCAGAAACTGTACTAGGAAGATTCGCCGAGGAGTGACAGACAAATGTGGTGCAGCTTGCAGTCCAAAGTGGCGGAAGCATGCAGCAGACAGAAAATCAGAAAAATCCGAGCATCAACACCGAACCCAAGAACACATCAATTCCAATCGAGGCACGTTCTGCTGCCTCAGGCCAAAGGCGACACAACATACGTTCTACATACAGGTGACTGCACTACACCCCTTCGGGCAAATGCCAGCCCAACACTGTTTGCGCATGATTTTGCATGACTCCATATGCTCGCTTCTGAACCATGGCCTCATCGCAAACAAATCTGCAGACCTCGCAGGCCCATGCAGTTGCATACCTCAGTGCATCAACATCTCGGGCTGCACTTTTCTGAAATGCCCACCTGTCTTCGTGTGTCCTCTGTCCCCATGCCTATCACCCCATAACCAGACTTGTTTGGGCATATAACGATACTCAGTTCAGGCATAGGGCAGAGATGCCCTCATGCGCTAAAGGACATGAAGCCCAGTGGACATGAAGCCCGGGCGAAAACGCAGCACTTTTGTGGGAGCTTTGGACAGCATTCACTCAATGACGGCAAGGATGTCATTTGGGTCGTGACATCCATGCTCCATGCTGGACGCCACACGACGAGAAAAATCGCGTGCTGGTCTCCAAAGTACAGTACATGAAGAGCATCATGCATGCATGGGGCTTACATGCATCCGAAAAGCAGCGCTCAACAAACTCATCCACATTCACGGTGTGATCCCCATCCTGCTTCTCAGGTGCAAAGGGCAAGCGACTTTCAGCAGGCTATATTGAAGGGGTGGGAGCAGACTCGTCTGAACCAGCAGACTCAAATGACACGCCTTGTCCAGGCTCGTGAACAATGTCCAGGCATCCACGGCTCCGATTTTGAGGACCTCGAAAAATGCCTTCCACATGGCTGCACATGAGGCAGCATGGATTCATCATAGGGATGTCGGAAGATGAGCTCAGGTTTGACATATGAGGCTCCCAAAAATCAAAAAGACCACCTTGCAAAAGTATAATTCGGTCAGCGATGCTAGTGCTGAACAAGACTGTCACTATGGCTAAAGCGGCTAAAGCCGAGCACCTTGACAGCATCGTTGTCAAAGTGCCGCTCAAACTCCGAGATCGTCAACTGGCCCAAGCCGCGCTCATCGATTGTATCGAAGAGCTGCACAACCTGGTCCTTCAGTTCTTTCCGCATCTGCACCGACGCTTGCACTGCCAGCTCGTGGTCGTTCTCTGCCGCTTTGATAGCACTATTGCAGAAAACGCCAGTCATGACCTCGAAATTAACTAACTAACTTTGTTCTGGTGCCGGCAGCCCCCAAATGGACAGGACACCTGTGGGCCCCTCACATCAAAAGGGAGGGGTGGCCATGTGACATGAGTGCAAGGCGCAGCCAGCAGTAAAGCGAAGGCAACGCAAGACAACTCATGTTGTCAACCAGCACAGGGAGTAACCAAGCCAAGCCTGGAACACAAACCAAGCCAAGGCAAGCCAGCAGAGGCCCCTGCTCACAGACGACAGGCACGGAAGAGCCTGGGCCAGCGAGAGGACCTCGAAATGTTGAAAAAAAAAACTTGTAGACGATGACAATGACCATCGCTAACTTTGTTCTGGTGCTGACAGGCCCAAAAGGGACAGGACACCTCTGGGAGCCCCTCATAGTAAAAGCAGGGACAACCATCTAACATGAGAGCGCATGCGAAGCCACAGCAAAACTTGTCAAACTTGCGGCAAAGCTTGGCAGCTCATGTGCTCATGTATCCAACCACCTAGAAAACATCCAAGCCAAGAAAACAACCAAAGCAAGCCACCCCCACTTACACACACCAGACCCGGAGGAGCCTGGGTGGGCAAGAAAGGAGCCATAAGCTTTAAGAATCAACCACGTCAAGTGCGACCATGGCAACCAAATTAAGAGCCCCATCTACTTCGCCACAGGTACGTTTGAACCTGCACGCGCTACAACCCTTACGGCCCCATCCCCAGCGCTGGAAATTGTATCTAAAGAACCGTCGCACACAAATCATACATACCTCGAGGTCATCATCACAATCATCATCGGATCATCATCACCATCATACCTCGCAATCATCATCTGGAAATAACTAACAGCAACACAACGACCAGCAACAGAAACAAAAAACAACAGCACGAAACGACGAAAGCGAGGATGCTGTGCCACACACCACTGCCGTTGTGCGAGATCTGCCGTGTCTAGCAAATCTCGGTCACAAATCTGCCTGCTGCACCATTGTCCTCCTGTGGGAAATGGCATCCAGAGCAAACCCTGCGCCCGCCGCCCCTGGGATGAGCGTCACCGACGCCTGCCGCCTGTCGACCCACTTCCGGAGTAGACCCCACTCCCGCGGCCAAGGGCTGCTGTGAGCTGCGTGGACGATGGAGGGGAGGTAGCTTAATCATGATGCCTCCTCGCGTCGCGTCCGAAGTACACCGTACTCCCGCCGGCCCTGGGCTGCCTAGCACTGTCACTGCGCGTTGGCCTTATCCTGCTGATGGTCGAGGGCTCGTCGGCTTAAGATTCTCCCCACCTGATGCCTTAGTGCCCCGGAGCTCCGGGGTCCTCGACCACAAGCCAGCAAGGAAGAATATCCGGCACAAGCAGTCTGAGCAAAAGAGACTGGAGCAGACACAGACCTGCATCTCGCGCGAGGCAGACTGAGCCCACACGAAGTGAGGGAAGCAAGCCACCAAGCAACCGTTTCATCTCGTCTAGCACATGGCAGGTAGCGTCCGCAATGCTAGAAGCAGTAGCAGCGCATGAGTCACCGGCTTGCTAAGTAGCAACAGCGATTCCAGCACTGCGGGTGCTTCTGATGTTCTGCTTGTTCCTGCCATGGGAGCCCTGCGAAAGTGGGCTTCGCTTCCGAAGGTGCTCGCTCATTGCTTGATGCTGTTGGATATTGGAGGAACTGACGTGACAAGCTTACTCTGAGTCTCATGCTCGTGGTCGTTTTGCCTTCTGCAGGGTCTTTGCGTTCCACTTGACATAAAGCTTGGAAAGGGGCGTTCGTTGATGCAAGGTCCTCCAGAGCGAGCCTGAAAGGTGCATGATGCGAGTCCAGGAGAATTCCCCTCACGCCAAATTCCCGATCATGTTTCGAGGTGAAACGTGCAGCATCGTGTAAAAGGGCTGCCACAAACACCTGCGAATGCAAGCGTCGGCGGAAGTGCGACAGGCAAGGTCTCCAGAAAACTCGACACAACAACGCACCGCTAGGATGAAGAAGAACAACAGTGACGAGCAACTCAACCAGCCGAACACACATTCAGGAAAAGACTGCCTGCCGGAGCAGCCTATTGTGCAAGACCTTTAAGAGGCGCGTGTTGTGCTTATGTGACCCCTCATGTTCCCACGAAGCACTTTGTCACAACGAAGCCGGGATGCATTCAAAACGCAGAAGGCGGAAAAGGCCACGAAGAAGTTGTAGGCCTGCACCCAAAACTCGCCTCAGGCCAATCACAGATGGAAAAGGGCTGCACCCAAAGCTCCGATCGTTTGTGTCTGCATCGCCAAGCCTTCCCTGTGCTGAAGTTGCAGAATGCCCTCAAGTCGTTTTCAGCGATTCTTTGCATCAGAGCTCTCGCTCCCAAACACATCTGACCATATCCCAGACATACATATGTGGGTATGACTGCACCTGGGTGTACAGATGCATGGATGGAGGAAGGGAGGGATGGATGTGCATGTGCATTTGTGTGTGGATGATGTGCATTATGTGAATTTGTCGAATCTGTAGTATGCGTGTGAATATGGACACGCCTACCTATATGCATAGATACAGATGTGGTGTAGATACAAATCAAGCTACGTATAGACACATGCGCATAGTAGTACAAAGAGAGAGAGAGAGATATAGATAGATAGATAGATGCATATATATATATATATGAAACAGAAATTATGTATGCATGTATGTACAAGTGTACAGGTCAGGACCTCATTCTGAAAAGCCAGCGGCCTGCCGGGCCCAAGGAATCGGCCGCCATATGCCAAGTAAGCCCGTTCGAGATCGAGCGGTACAACGTCGTTGAAGAGCTGTAGAGGTTGCCGAAGTAGAACTCGGACAGGGTTAGCTGTGCATGGCGATGAAACATGGTGAAACAGCATGTAGGGTGCAGGAAACCTGCTTGAACACAGACCGGATTCACAAAGTACAAAGCACGGGGTTGATTCAGGCTGGTGACATCCAGTCTCCCCAGCGTCACGCCTAGATTCGTCTGAAGTCGACCCTTCGATTTCAGGGAGCACAGCCCGACACGTCAAATCTGCGCTCTATAAAGAAAAGCAAAAGTTTCCTGGGAAAGGGCGGAAGATGCAAGCGCACGCTGCGATCTACAAACAAATAGAAACTGCAAGTGCGCACACGCGCTGTGAGATCTCACAAAGGGCTGCCTGTTTACACGGACCGAACATTGATTGTGAAAGCCCTTCTCCGAGGCATGGCTCTGCAAAAGGTCCCTGTGCAGCTCCAACAGATCACCCGCGAGCCCGATTATTTGGTGCGTTGTAGCAGGACACTCCCCCAACAGCATGGGGCCCACACTGAATATTGATTCCGAGGCACCTGCATCGGGTCATCGCGGGACCGGGCGATGTCGTACTCTATCAGATGATCCAGAACAATGTCTGTGAAGAGGATCGCAAAGATGTAGATGATCAAGCCCAGCAGCAAGAAAGACCAAAACAGTGACTTCAGTGTTCCCGCCAACGATGCTACTAACGTCCTCAAAGCTCGGAAGAGGCGTACCACGCGGACAATGCGCACAACACGAACGAGCCGCCCAAGTCGCAACAGCCTCATTAACCGGAAGTTGCTGTTGCCCCTGCTCACTTGATCCTCAGCCGAGTTTGTCAAGTCGAGGGCAAACTCCACCCATGATGAGATGACGACAAACAAGTCAAGCCAATTCCAGTGCCAGTCCTCTCTGCAGGGTGCTTACCTTCAGCTGGGCTTGCACGGATTTGTTACCTAAACATGCATCAACTCGACTCTCTCAAACTGCCCTTTAGGGCATACACAGTACGTGCATTAAAAACATGTTTCGGTTCGGTGTCGCAGGACGCAGGTGACGCAAGAATTAATGCTAGTTTCTGAAGCGCCCAGTCCTGGCCCCATAGAAGAGCTCTGCATCCCCAGGCCATGACTCGCAGCACAACTTCGAGGGTGAAGAGGAGTGCGTAGACCAAATGAAGGGCAAAGAAAGTCGGATTCCCGGATGAGCCTCGATGATCGACGCTCCAGTCGAGATGCACTCCCAAGTACACAGAGTTCGTCATTATCACCAATGCCCAGAACACGTGTGACACGTGGGAATTCATCAATACCTGTACCCGTGCTCGGACGGCTGCCCATCCGGACAGCCTCCTCGACTTCTTCGGATGATTCGGCCCATAGATGGTGAAGGACGTGAGCTTGTTGAAAGCATTCAAGATCCGGCGATCAGTCTGCCTGGCCAGTATATAGCTGCTATCAACCTTCTCGTTGGGATCTGTAGCCTCTTGCCTTACCTCTGCGCTGATGTCCATGGGAGGCTCAAAGTCGGAGCCGGCTGATCCGGCTGATTCTGCAGAGGCATCCAAAGGGTCTACAGGCAGCGGCTCAAGCTCAAGAGGCTCACGAGGCTCACGAGGCTCACGTCTCGGACTTCCGGATCTCCCCGGCGAGAAGGACGACGTCGCTTCTGGCACCCAGCATCCTGCGAGCTGCGCGCTGAGCCTTGACATCCATGTGTCCAGGAGAACGGTGATCTCTTCCTGGTGCGAGCGCAGGACTTCCAGGAGCTGGGGATTAGGATCTTTTTGCTCCATGGCTGCCCAAGCCCCAACCACACAGCCTGAAGCACGCGACTCCGACCACGTTCCTGCGAGTCCTAACCACACAGGTGCGATAGCATATGCGAGTTGCAGAAAAAACATGCTGATGCTTCTTCCACTGTTGTTGCTATTTCCTTGGTGCGTGAGCCAGGTAACTGCGAAGCCGGCAGGTGCAAATGAATTTCCCTGTGCCATACGATCACAAGCGCCTTGATAGCTATGCCAAAAAAAGATGCAATCCTTCAGCCTGAACCCGAACACCTGACCCGACTTCTCCAAAATTAAAGTGCATGCCCTCCTTGGACGTCAATGAACAAGCCTCGGTGGTCGGCGGGCGCTTCCGATCCTGAGATCGTAGTCGACAAGCGACTGGGCATGTAGACAGCTATCAATTGCGGAGGCGTCTAGGACTTTTCAAGCACATGCTGCTCTTTGCACAGGTCTGCAGGAGATATCATGTGCTGCTTGGCAGCGACATGCCAGGAATCCCTCCAGGCCTCACCCTGCAGTCTACTGGCATCGTCTTGAGTTCCGGGACCCACAGCATTAGCAGAGATCGACGACTTCTTATGTGAATATGGACTGCATCCTAACATCACCTCCTGACAGACGATGCTTGCGAGAGCTCTCCATCGGACTCCATCGAGCAGCCAGGCCAAGTAAGAAGTGAACGCTCTAGTTGCGCACCATGCGCGCACAGGTCCGTTTGCCTTCCAGAACATTCCAGAAAGGGTAAGTGTAGGTCTCTTATGGCCACGGCAGGTGAAACTTGCTGCCACCGATTACTGGAGGCTGTGAAAAATATTCGGCTTCAAGCCACATCGCCGCCTTTTCAGGCGTGCGAGGCTACTCCTAGCACGGCCTGTCGATACCGGAAAAGCAAAGGGCCCAAGCTTTGCAATAGGCGGCATGGGCATCGAATTTTAGAATTTGAATGTTACCGTCTCAGCGGTGGGCGAACAGTTTGCCTCCTCAGGAGGCAACACTGGTTGATAGGTTAACCTCGGCGCAGGAGTGCGATTCAGCTTCAGCGCGGAGCAAGAAAAAGGTTAAATCACTGTCTTACATCTCCCAGCGGATGCTGAAGATCTCCAAACGTCGAATGAACTAGGACATGCCCGAACAGGCCGCCCTCCCGATCTCAAAGCGACATCTTGAAAGCCAAGCTCTAAACCGCGGCACATGGGCCTGCCAAGCAGCCTTGCCACTTGGAAATTGAGGCGGGTTTGGAGGTCTGCTATGTCGCGCAGCTGCCTCGCCAGCTTAGCCTTCGTGGCAACAAGATGCAGGCTTCGTTCCGGTATCTTTTCCAACGCCCAGCAGCTCCTGAAATGTGCCCAATGTCCTCTACCCCCCATTTGCCCATGGTCGTGACTTTTCCCTGATTGGCTGTGTGCTTCCTCGGGACTGTCTGCTGCTTCATGGCAAAGAGGTCTGCAGCTCTGGCGGGCCCGTGAAGTTGTAGGCCTCAGAGCTTCGGCGGCTTTTGGAGCGCGGTGCTCGGGTGCTCTCACCAACGGTTGAGGGCCGACTTGGTGCCCTCCGTGCAATCGGTTTCGTGTCGAGACTTCTGGCTCCGAGGGTGCCTGAATCAAAGCAACGCTTGTGAAGTAAGAATGTGCACAGTACTGCTGCTCACTGTGATGGGCCATGGGTGCTCTCTTCTCAGGACGGAGTATTAGACCATGGACTCATCATACTTGGGCCATGGGTGCTCTCGAATCAGACCGGATTAGACCATGGATGTCATCAAGTCAAAACCCACTTCAGCATAAAATGCACAGAAAAACACCCAAAACTCCAGTGTCGGATGCGAAACAAGCCAACACAATGCATGCCGAGTCTTGAAACTTGAAAAGCAACTGCGCAAAAGCAGGTGGCATCAAAACCCCAGCAACATGCATGCGCATGTTAAAAAGAGAAGGCGGCAAAGCGAAACAGCACCAAAATGGGGTCGGGGCGGCAAGTCAGCCGACTGGCAAAAGCAACATAGCCACAGCGGAATCTTAAACACTGGGCAGTGATAGCGGCTCTTGGCTTCCCGATGTGAGTGCTCTCGCCGAGGGTTTCATTACCGGATCATGAAAAGTTATCACGGTGCTGGCAGATAGCGACGCCCTCTGCAGGACTCCTGCAGTGTTCAAGCTATGCTGTCAATCAGGTTCAACTGCATTCAGGCCAGAGGCAGCGCTCTGTGAACTCGTCGACATTGACGGTGTGATCCCCATCCTTCCCACAGCTTCCACACACCGCACCAAAACTTGTGATGTTGCGGACCCCTGTCGGTGACGTTGTGGTAAACTGCATGTGAAGTTCAATGAAGCCCATAAAGGCGCAAGTAAGAAGTGACGCGCCTTGTCTAAGCTGGAGAACAGGGTCCAAGCATCCACGGCACCGATCTTGAGGACTTCAAAGAATGCCTTACAGGATGCACGGTGAGTCCCCAAGTTTTCGAATGATCCCAACATCATACCGAATCGGCACCTACAATATCTTGCGATATTTTCCTTATGCGAAAAGTTTGCTCAAATATTCGCTCCTTACATGCTGAAGTAATGCATCGGCACCTTGACAGCATCTTTGTCAAAATTGCGCTCGAACTCCGAGATGGTCACCTGTCCACTGCCACGCTCGTCGATGGTACGGAAGAGTTTTTCGACCTGATCTGCCATTTCCTTCCGCGTTTGCATTAGCGACTGCATCGCCAAATCGTGGTCGCTCTCTGCGGCCTTGATAGCGCTGTTGCAGAACACACCAGTCATGACCTCGCGATCATCTTCTAGAAACGCCGGACACATACTCGAAGGAGTGCAGGTACGGCAAGAAAGTCGCGAAACTAACTAACTAACTTTGTTCCGGTGCCGGCAGCCCCCAAATGGACAGGACACCACACGAACCCCCTCGTTTCAGAAGGAGGGCAGCCATCTACCATGAGTGCGAAAGTGGGGCCAACGGCAAGAAGCTTAAGGCAGCACTCAACCTGGCGAAGCAACTGACTAACTTTGTTACGGTGCCGGCAAGCCCCCAAATAAAGAGAGCGGAAGCGAGTCCAGCAGCATAAAACTTGTGGCAACGCTCGACAGCTCATGTCTCCATCCACTTCTAACTAACTAGTTGAAGTTGACAAGCTCTGAGGCGGGGGTCGAAATCCTTTTAGCTGAACTACACCATCCCGCTACGACAGGAAAGGCAGCGAGGAAACTTCACAAGAGCAACCAACAGAAATTACATGTGCAGCCTTTGTTGTCATGTGACAGGAAGACTTGCTCGAGGTGAGGGAAAGCATGATTGCACTCAACATAAGAGGTTTACGCTCGCCAGCACATGTTGAGTACATATTCGCAAACAACATCAAGATGCTCAAGCATACGGCGGTCATGGCCATGTCTCTACCTCTGGGCCTCTGACCAACCCAAACACCCCTAGTCAGGCAGGAGATTGCAGAAACATCACTGCGACGCATGAGCGAAAGGTAAGTTGGCAGCAGTGTGCATGTTGAAGGAAAACTTCACCAGCCCTTGCAGCATACGAGTCAGTCTCGCAAGCTCCACCGCGTGTTCAGCACATAGTTGCTGCAAAAATGGGCAGTCAAGGAGGTTTGGCAAGAAGATCGGTGCAGATCATATCCAGGAAACAACTGTGGATCCGGGCCATTTCGAGTGACAACCCAAGGCCACTTCGAACTGTTATGGAGCCAGGTTTGACTCATGACCTCGTACGTATACCTTCAACACGAGGGCCAGCTCAGATCGAGGAACATTGTGGACGGCACCAGTTTACTTGCCAGCAGCAGCAGATACAGCTGACAGTAACCCTCCACAGCTCTCTCTGACACTCTGAACCAGGAAGGGGCTGGTTCCAAGAATGAGGCAGCGGGCAAAAGGATATTGAATTCACCTACACCTTCACCAAGCTTGATGTATGTGTTGAACCTCACTCATGCAGCAATCGTGCTGCAGTTCCTTCCCTCCCTACAGGGGTGCGGGTGCTGAACCGTCAACAGTACTCTGTTTGTGGCATTCGAAGGCCCGTCAGTGTATGGTTATGGCACCACGAACTGTTTTACTCGTCTCATTTTGCTCCCCTCCTCTTTCCGTGCGTGCCGTCCTTGCACGGGATGCGGTGCCAGTCGCAGCCTCGACCCTGGCCTTTGTCGGTCACTACGACTACAAAACGTCTGACAAGCTACACCTGCAATCCGGAATTGTCGCTTTCGATTGTTCTTATCCCCGGATTGCCAGTTCGCGTCCTATCTCCGTTTTGGCAATGGTATCGCGACATCTCAGTTGGCAGTAATGTGACCAAGTAGCATTCAGCAATGCCAGCAGGCAGAAGGCCACGTACAACTGGAAGCACTGGACCCAGAACTCACCTCCCACTGTCTCAAGGCTGCTCTGTGGGTAACATGGCTTGCTTTGACATGCACATACCAAGGCAATGAATTTTTTTATGTTCGGGATTCGAGTCGCAATGGTGTCGGGGAGCAGATACGACAGCAAGAGTTTTAGTCTCAAGCTGCTGATCCAACTTGCAAATAGGGCCCACACTCAACCCGTGCCCCCCAGCAGTCGACATCAGATCCGATACTTAGTAGTTAGGCCACTCACACTATCTATATATATATATATATATATATATATATATATGGTACCCCCCCTCCGGTACCTACTTTTTCGGTGTGGTTATCAATACTATAGGCTTACACGTGCACTGGTCTCGATTGGTACCATGGTGGGGAGGTGCCTGACAAGCCCCATCTGTGCCCGCACGCCCTATCTGTACTGACAGTGCTATGAATACTAACTTCACCGTATTAAAGTAATTAGCCTTCTGGGCCGTCCACCGTTGTGACTCGTGATACGTGCTGCCGGGGCCGATTCAAGTTGAATCGGCCCGATTCAAGCTGAATCGGGCCTCGGACTGAAGATTCAAGAGTCAAGTTCCCTGGGAAACTTCTTCCAGGGATCTTGAATTTTGAATCTTCAATCCGGGGCCCGATTCAGCTTGAATCGGGCCGATTCAACTTGAATCGGGCCGACTCTGCTCCAAGTGCATTCGCCCAAAAATTCCTCCCGCAGTCTCTCTTGGATCACGCCCACATCTAGCTTCCTGTGACACTCATGTTGATCATGAATAATGGATTTCTCAAAAAAAAGAACAAGGGCAAAAGAGTGCACTACTGCGGAACTTAGGTTTGTACAGTTACGGCTTATCGGGCACCTCCCCACCTCGGTACCAGCGTAAAACACTCCAGGTGTGGGCCTATAGTATTGCTAAACAACACACAGAAAAATGTTCATGTTTTTGGCGAACCTCAGCCTAACCTCGTATAAACCTTGCCTTAGTAGTAGCTTGGATAACCCGGCTATTCTGACTCATGTTTACCCGATAGAGGCGCCTTGTAGCTCAACACCATAGATATTCTGGAAAAAATGCGATGCCGACTAATAACCCCACCAGTCGTTCGCATGTCAACTCGCATACCCACCAGAAATCGGAAATTAGCCTATCTAACATCATAAACTAACCCGGTTAGCACCCCAGATACTAGAGTTTCCCTTCAACCGTAATATGTGAGTCTAAGATGGAATTGTTCGCAAACTTAATATCACTTATAAGCTATTCCTACTGCAATTCTTCGTAACGCATCATGCTTTTTCCAGCATTTGTCACCTATGTGCCAGAAAGTGCTGTATTGGCTGCAGACAGAGCAGCATCAGACGTAGATGAGACACTGGTGCACATTGCCTACATGTGTATTTGCAGCAGAAGCAGTGGCATATTCGAGCAGGCGCGAGCTCAGGAGGCAAAAAAGCCAGCAGGTGTATCACAGACCAAGATATCAGGGTTATCACACAGCTCTGACTAAGGTTGTTCATAAGAGAAACACTGGGGTTATATTATAGGTCGCACTGAGGCTACGATGGAGAGTCTGAAGGCTATATCAGGCCTAATATTAGGGTCAGCATTGACTTAAGGGTTAATGGCAAGGATAGTGTTAGGGTTGATGTTGAAATCCGACATGAGCATCTACAGTAAGAAGGGACCTATCAGTGTATATTGGGTTACGCAAGTATGTGCAAATATTATCCTTAAATCTACAGGCCATCAATAGAGCAATGCCACACTTTGAGAAAGTTGAGGTTCATGCTTAACAAAACGGTTGGGCGGCTCATATCATTATTAGTATGAATCTGATGGTTACCGCGGGGGTTAGTACTTGGGCTGTATCTAGCATACCTGTACCAATAAATGCAGTAACTAACTAAGATTGGGGTCGCCATGACTTTTAAACTTCGGAGTCCATGACTTCAGGGGATTCTCTTAAGCCCAGCAATTATTAGGTTCGCCTCCGAGAGCAGTATTAGGTACAGCAGACGCATTTGAATGTAGGTGGCAACGGCTTACTGGCACCCACATGGTGCAGTATTCTTTGCAACCTAGATTCCGAAAACTTATACCCAAAAGCACACAAACCGGAAAAAGGTAGGTACCGGAAGGGAGGGTTGCATATATATATATATATATATGTCGGCGTGCGATGACGTGTGTCGCACACACTACAGCATGCCGTCCAGCCTCGGAGTCGAAGCTACTGTTTCTGTAAACAAGACCCAGGCATGCCAGGCCTGCCGGAGCAAAGGCATCTGCGGCCTGTGCCCAACTGATACCGTTTGAAATGGCCCGGAAGAGCCTCTGCAAGGTGCAGACACAAGTCACACGGGCAGGCGTTGTTTGCGCAGGCTCGGAACTACAAGCAGAGCACTTCACCTTCAGATTACACCAAGCAGCGTGTTCATCGAGATGTACAGGTTGCCAAAGTGAACCTTCAGGCTTTGCCAGACATCAGCAATTGCACGGAAACTTCTCGGGTGGACTATGATTGCCACTGGACTACGATTGCTACTGGTGCTCAATGCAATTCGGACACCTGCATTACGTCCTCATCCGACGAGTTGTTCTCGATGGCATAGTCCAATGCCACATCTGTAAAGAGGATGGCAAATATGTATATCACCAGGAACAAAAGCAGAAAAGACCAGAAGAGTGACTTCAAGGTTCCCATGAGGGAAGCAACTAAAGTCCGCAAAGCGCGGAAGAGCCGCACAACTCGCACTATGCGCACCACCCGCACAAGACGACCCAGGCGAAGCACTCTGATGATGCGCAAGTTCGTGTTTGCCCCTAGCATGTCCTCAGCGCCTTCAGAGGTCAGCCTGTCTGCTACGATCTCAACCCAGGAAGACACCACAACAAACAAGTCCAGCCAGTTCCATTTCCAGTCCTTCTCCAATACATATGACCAGCATCCAACGGCGATGACACGCAGGCAAACCTCCAATGTGAACAGGACGGCGTATCCCGTGTGCACTGCATCAAAATATAAGTCATTTCTGAACTCCCTGTTGTCTGAACTCCACTGAAGATGAATGCCAAGGTAGATTGAGTTCGTGAGTATGGCAAGCGTCCAAAAAGCAGTCGACCACTGGGAATTCATAATGGATTCCACTCGTTCCCGGAATGGGTGCCACCAGCCCAGAGGGATGCTGCTGGCCTTCGCGAGCCCTGCTGATGCTCCGATGTGCCACGCACGCGCAATCTCAACATCTGTCATTTTGGCTTCTTCGTAGCTCAGCGTGCTATCCAGGCGTCTGGGTGCTCGAATCCCATGTCCCTGTACTATGTCTTCCTCGGAGGAGTCAGATGCACTGGCTGGTGATGCCTTGAACTGGTCTTGCTCAGTGAGAGTCGGAGCCCTTAGGTCCGAGTCCACTGCAGACTGCAGATCAGGGTCGGTCAAGTTCTCGTCCTCAAACCTAGGTCCTTTGGTCGAAGATTTCGACGGCTTGGCCCCAAACCGCGTGGCTTTGGATACTCCTCGTGCGATCGGGGACCTGGCACCTGACGGCAAGTTCGACATCACCAAGGTGTATTCCAATTTGGACAGCCAGTCGTGAAGCAAGGTTGCCATCTCCTTGCGGTGGGCTTGCAAGACCTCTGCCACGTCCACTTCGTCTCTCTCTGCGGCTTTGTCCGCGGCCGCCTCCATGGCTGAAGAGCCCCTTCCCTGGCCGGCAGAGAGTTCCTGTGGCCTCCGCAAACCTGTAAACACTATGTCCTTGAGCATCAAAGACATGCACATTTCAAGGTGAATTGAAAGGAATCTTGCGATATCGCCACGTTCTTTCACCGATGTACACTGACTCCCTTTCAAACTCCCTTTCATCAGGATAAAAGAGATCATCCTGAGAGCCGGACACGCCACCTCACAAGACGACCTGCAAACACATGCAATGCAATTCCCGATTCTGCGAGCGCAAGCCACAGTCGGAGTCCCAGCACGGGAGAAAGAAATTCATTCCCTCGGAAGCTGTTGTTGGCCTGGCTCGAGTGGGGAGCCGACGCGATCTCGCCTTAAGCAGTTGCACATACGGACATACGTACATACATACATACATGAACACCATACATGCAAACGTACAGACGTGCACATGGATACATACCTTGAGAGATAAACCGATGAGCAAGTGCAGGGCCAGAGCAGGAGTGCATGTCGCCGAATACAATCTAGAAAGACACACTGCGCATGCGTCATAGAAGCATGCAAGGAAAAGTACACATGCAAATGCACGTGTTCGGCAGACATACATTGGTCTAAATGGTCGATCGCTACATGCTGGAAATTGCTACGCGAAAGTTGAACAAGTAGGTTACGAAAAGTAGACCTTACAAGGTAACTAATGTTGTGTAGCTTTCGTGCGAAATGGACAAGCTGGGATCAAATGATCCCATTGAGTATTCCCAACAGCGGCATGGCTGTCGTTGGACTGACATTGTAACACCGGAAAAACTGACAGAGCTGCAGATGGGTTGTGCATGCCCGGCCGGGCATGGAACATAAGATTCTGATTCGAGCAGTTTGTAGTGGCTGCGTTTTCGGGTGCAAAGGCAGCAGTGGGCTCCAGATCTGTTCTGCTTGATTGATGCACACATTTTCCCATCCCGGCTCCATGCTCTCCCGTGAACCTACCGCGAAGCACTGCTGACTTCTGGTATGGAGGTCTGTCCGAATGTGTACGAGCGCCCTCATTGAGGGTACACGTCTTAGGTGCTGCGTTTGCAGCATATCTCAACAGCCGTTGTCTGCACCCAACCAGTACCAGCAACTGTTCGGCAACGCAGCCGTTGCGCATTGGGGCTTGCAAGAACATATACGTGCAGTCGAATGCGGCAGGCTGGTGAAACGGAAGACGGAAGCTATGCGCCGCAAAGCCTTGAACCGTTACGGGATCGCAGCCAGTGCTATAGCCAGTTCTTCAGGACCTCGGCCACGAGACAAGTGAGAGTACGAGGATCCCTTGGTGAATTTTTCCGTTCCCGACTCCTTCCCGAACAGGATGAAGAAAGCGTCTTAAATCACATGCATGGCTTGGGGGCCCTTATTTCACAGGGGAAGTGTCTATGGAACGGCGGGGCCAAGTTTTCCACGGGAATCCTCGGACACAATTGTCTGTTAAATGCTGTTTATGCAATGCAAGGAACCATTCTCCATAGAGGATAATTCTTGGACCTTGGAGGCTTTTGATTAAGAGGCGATAGTCATCACACCCTACCACATCCTGAACCCGGAGTTGAGTGCCACACCAAACCAACAAGATCAGGGAAGGGAAACACAGACCTGCAACCTCAATAAACTCTCCAATCGGCAGCTCCCTAAAGGTGGACAGAGAGTCAACAAAAGAGAAGCGCAAAAGATGTGAAAGATGTGACAGACAAATGAACCGCATTCCACTGCAGCACCTCCGTATCTTCGTCGTCGTCGTCGAGCCCTTTCTCATGCACAGACATCGCTCTGGACAGCTGATCCAGCCGCTTGTTGCAACCTGTCTCAATGCCATTCTGAGCAACCATGAGAAAAGCAGCACATGAGCATTGAACCCATCGTGAACCGAAATATGGCCCTGCACATGAACCCCTGCAGTAAGATTGCCGAGGGACGCTTCTGAAAGTCTTCGATGTGATCCAACTGCTTGGAGTGCTTGTCCTTTCTCAAGCTTCAGGCTTTGCTCCACAACAGCACTCTTGCGGACGCCCCGGTGGAAGCATTCTGCTGCTGCTCGTATAGCCGGGACACCGAAAGGTGCCGCAGCGCATAAAGATCTGCTGAACGAGCCGGGCCGTGAAGCTTCAGGCAGCGCTCCGTGAACTCCTGGAACCAGGTGTCTTCTCTGTTGCACCATGTCAGTGGCACTGAGTGCGAAGGAGCGCTGTAGCAGTATCAGTGCACCAGCTCTTGGAGTCCAAAAACTCGCGAAGGAATGGCACCATGACGGGGGAGATGGCCGAGCCAGTGATGCAGTACAGCGAGTGGAGTGATGTGATTGAGCTGAGAGCTAAGCGCGTGAATAGGCAGGCTAGGCGCAGCGACCAGCGCCCCTGGCTCCAATTATTAAAGAGTGACCGAGTGCTGATAGCGGAAGTCAGTTGTGTTAATTCAGCGAGTGAATGAAGCAATGAGTACGGGAGCGAAAGCGTAAGCTGAGTTGAATGAATGGGTGGATAGAGCGAGCCAGTGCGCTAGTGCAGGGGAGTGAATGAGTGAGCGTGGGGCGTGAGAGTTAACTGCAATCGCTTGTGGAGTCGTCGGAGCTATAAGCCAGTCACGACCGTCCTCAACACTGATGGTGTGGTCACCATCCACGTCCAAACCTGATACTGAGGAGAGATGACTCCTCGTGAGAAAGGATCATGCCGGGAGAGGATGATCTGTTGACAATGCTTGACGAAGATTTGCATCGTCCGCACACTGATGCTACAGCTAAGGCTAAGGCCATCTCCAGGTGTGCGTGTGTGTGCGTGCCTGCGACACCCTGTTTCGAGCAAAGGCTGACAAGCAGCTCATGAAGAGCGTCCAAGCATCCATGGCACCAACTTCCAATGACTCAAAGAAAGCCATAACAGCATCATCGTCGAAATGCCTCTCGAAGTCTTCGATTGTCACCTGCAAAATGGTATGGCCGCCATGCGCCATGCTGAGCATGCCACGAACACGCGTTCTCTCTGCGACAAGCCTGGCCCAATCCTCGTTCGTCGATCCTTTCGAAAAGATTGGCAACTTGGCTCTTCAGCTCGAGCCGGCTCTGGACCAATGACATCACCTTCTCCGGTGCAACACAGACGCGAATGGACCATGGGGACAACAAGGGTTTGAAATGGTTGCAAGCCAGCCGTTTTCGCCCGATCGATTCGACGCAAGACATCTGACATACAACATGCCCCTAGTCACTAGTCTTCGGTCAGACCTGGTTCTACACCATTTAATCGATTCCGAACATCATTAAGCGAGCTCTGTGGCAGTCACATCTGCTCTGTGACCGTCCAACGCAGCCAAGATGCTAACATTTCATGGTCTCGTTCAGCTGCTTTGATAGCACTGTTGCAGAACACCCCAGTCATGACCTCGCGCGAACTAACTAGGACGCCATTTTGTACCCGGTACCCCTCATAGAAAAACAAGGACCGACCATCTAACATGAGAGAAAAAACGAAGCCGAAAGAGGGAAAGCCGGTGCTGGCACTTGACGTCGGTACTCAGCCAGTCCGGAAAGCAACCAAGCTAGGAATCCCAACTTTCTCACACCAGATACGGAAGAAGGTTTAGGGTATAAGGATTTATTGTTTTAAGGTTTATGCTCTCGCAACTCGGACATGCCTGACGAGGTCTCTGGTGCGCGTGTGCTTGGACGGTCGGATCTACTGAAAGGGCTTCGGGTTCAGGGTTTCACTCCAGCTTTCGGCTGGGACTTGAAGGATATCAATGTGTCATCACTCATCAAAAACTTCGGTGCACACAGGCGCAACGCAACATGCTGCTTTTTTGCAAGCATGTTGTTGCTGTCAAGCGTCTTCACCAAGCTTCCAAGGTGAGGTGGTAACTTTTCACCCGGCAGCAGCAGTTCACACTTGCGAATTTCAAGCGGGCGCCACGAAAAAACGGCGACGATTGCTCACCCGCACCAAAATCCAAAACACGACACGCAAACTCCAACTTTGCTCGCAAACTCAAACTTTTTACCTCTGGAAAGCGACATCGAAGAGGCAGCAAAACCACCGGAAGGTTTAGCACTGCAGCCTTTGCCTTTTCCTTTCCCTTCTTCCTTGCTGTTTCCTTTGCTTCCAGCTTCTGCGCCCACTTAGCCAACATCTCCCAAGCATCCTCTGCGTCAACAGTCTCTGACCTGCCAACACATTTATGTGGGGGATTCGGGCAAGAAACGAATCGACGAGCGACGCCTACTTTCACGGAAGTCGTGCTGAAGTTTCTTAACGTCAGCAGGAGAGTCAGACCAAGAGAGGAACAAGAGAAATGCACATTTGCAGAGCAGCGTAGGAAAAGGCCCGCAGACAATCAACAGCCTGCGGGAAAAGAACCCCAAGGAGCACCACGAACGAAATCAGCAATTATTATCGGCACCAGAATCACCATCACAAGAGCGACCCCGGCACTTTTTTGCAAAAATCTACGCAGCCACACATGGCCTTGGGAACAGTGCAAGCAGATGCAACAGGCGCAATGCTTGGCACACCGGCGCGATTGTCTTCACTGGCATGAAACTTGCGGTTCTGGACACCTTTCCAAGTGAAGGACCTTAAAGGCATCAATGACCTTATCGGGCGGAATGCCTGGACTGGCGGGGCGAGTGGCCCAAGTGCATGAAGCAAGGAGAGAGGACGCCGGGAAATGAGAAAGACCAGCCGCAAACGAAGAAAATAATGACTGACTTCCTCCAGGAGCAGCAGCAACAGGAGTGACCTTGGGAGCATCCGTGGCCTTTTGAGCCCAGGAGCCTTCAACTGGCCATTCCGTGCCAAGTTACCAAGCGGCACCAACCTGTCAAGCAAACCGACAGAGTTTTTTCGAAGCGCGCTCCACAAGACTCTGAAGCGCACCCAACAACACCGCATCTTCAAAAGAAGGCGCCATAGCGGAAGGAGAAGCAGAGCCAGCACTTATGTTCGTGAACCTATCCAGAACATCTTGCACGAGCG